TAAGTAAGGATTATGAATCTAAATTCAATGATTATGTTGACAAACTAAACTGCATTTTCACTAATGGCATTCTACTTAATTTAGATAAAATTATTTGTTGTGAAATGTAATGATTGCTTTTAATTCTGATGGGAATAAAATAATAAAATTTTGCAAAATTTTCAAGGGAGTCTGTATCAATACCCATGCTTGCAAATGGTAATATTCAGTGTCTCGAAGATGTATACAGGTGTATAGAATATACCAAAGTTGATGGCGTAATGAGTGCAGAGGGAATTCTTACAAATCCTGCTCTGTTTGAGGGTATTAACCCAGTCACATGGGAATTGGCAGAAGAGTATTTAGAATTAGTTTACAGGTATCCCTGTCCCTCATCTTATGTTAGAGGACATCTATTCAAAATTTTCCATAAAATGTGAGTTTGATTATTTTACCTTCTATTAAAGTCACTAAGATATCTTCATATTAGTAATATACTTTTCAAAATTATTAAATTTTACTGGTGGTAGGATGTCTTCTGGGTCTGCATGATTTGGTATCACCACCCTGCCTATTTCTGCTGAGAAACAGTAATACGTTTCGGTTTGAAATATGAGGCAGCCGACGTAGTGTAAAACTTGAGACCTCAGAAGTCATGTCTTGAGGCGGGTGACGGAATTTGCGTTTTAGGTATCTATGGGCTATGGTAACCTTTTAACACCAGGAGGGCTGTAAGATCATACAATCATCTAAGCAAAAAAAATACACTATTTAAAATTATCACTTACACTTCAGATCATTCACAAAATATTTTGCCACCAGTTTCTTCTTTTATCTTTAAATTTACTGGTACATTTTAGTTTCACCTTTGATGAGAACAATGATGACCGACAATTACTTGCTACAGCTCAGAACATAAATGACTTCAAGAAAGTTTGTGAGAATCTAAAAAATAAATATCAACCTTATCATGAAGGGAAAATACATTATGAAGATGAAGAAAATATATCCAGGACAGGGTACAATTTAATTTTACCACCATGGATATGTCAACCTTATGTGAGAATGTCACCAGAAGCACATACACAGAAAATGCACGAGCTAAGTAAAAATCAGGTAAGACCTTGTATTTTTTGATGGCACATTTGTATCTTATTATATTTGAACTTATAATAATATTGTTTGAAACTATTATATTATACAAGTATTGAAAATTTTAATTGGTGACATAATATGATAGTATATTAACTTATTTACTCACAGATACTTGGTAAGACACTGTTATGTAGCAATACTGCATTTTATCATTTTGCAGAACAATCAGGAATGTAAAAGAATTAATGAAGACCAAGATGGAAATCATATATCACGCAAGAAAATGAAAAAGATGAAACGGATGATGCGAAGACCTCAGAAAGCAGATCAAAACCAGAATGGGCGAAATGGAGATATTTGTTTCAATGATAAATGTCCTAACCCTCTGGTTTGTATACTGTACTTGATATATAGGTTAGTTATATATACACTTAAGTCATGAGAATCTTATGGATAGCCTATACAAAGAAATGTAAACACAAGTAACTTCTGCGAGATTGACTGTCAGTCTATGCAAAAAAACTTAAAGATTAATGTCAAAAGTTTTAGGTACCTCATAAATAAGTATTTTTGGAGAATAGTAAGTAATTTTTAATAGCATTAACAGAATTTTTACATGTAAATATGCTGTCACTGTAGGCAGTTATAGTAACAAAAGTATAGTTTGGTATAAGTTAAGTACCCTTATACCCTGATTGCCTGTTCAGCGAGAATCAAGGTATATTGCAAATTGTTACTAAAAAAGTATTTTTGTAACTCTACGCAAGGGAAAACAATTTAAAATACGTGACTTCCGAACTTTACGTTCGCTAAAGATCGCGCGACTAACTGCGTTCGCATTACATTCCGTGTTCACTTAATATGGAGTTATTAGAGAGACAAGCATCTATATTTAACTTGATCAATGATTATCGTTTCCGGTAGTAGTACATTCCAGATTCGGGTTTTATTGATGGTTCCACGGAGTATGATAATTCTGTGCACTTAGTTGGGAAAGCATGAAAACCGGGGCCGTGCCTTGTGGCACTGTGTCCCTGAGTGACGGTGAGCAGATATCATTATGCGGATCGTAAGCTTATCTACGTACTAAGCTAATAACAAAGCAGCAGGTCCCTATTACCGTAGTTTGTGCATTAGCCAGTGTCAAGTAATAAGATTTTTTTGGCTGTTTTAATTATTTACAGTTTATGAATAATAAAAAATGAAAGAAACTGTCCATGTTGGCCATTTGTAATATCAGTGTAAGTATGAATGAAATTAGCAGCATGGGACGGTATAGATAAATTAGGTTTTTTTTATTGCTTAGATGGGTGGACGAGCTCACAGCCCACCTGGTGGTTACTGGAGCCCATAGACATCTACAACATAAATGCGCCACCCACCTTGAGATATAAGTTCTAAGATCTCGGTATAGTTACAACGGCTGCCCTACCCTTCAAACCGAAACGCATTACTGCTTCACGGTAGAAATAGGCAGGGTGGTGGTACCTACCCGCGCGGACTCAGAAGAGCTCCTACCACCAGTAATTACGCAAATTATAATTTTGCGGGTTTGATTTTTATTACACGATGTTATTCCTTCACTGTGGAATAATTGGTACCCGCCTGGGATTCGAACATCGGTGCATCGCTCAACACGAATGCACCGGACGTCTTATCCTTTAGGCCACGACGACGGTTGAGAAAGTAGTTCGATTACTGTAGTAATTAACTCTGCAAATTACAATATGAAGTGAAATGAAATGAAGTTGATTAATATTATGAAACATGGCATGAAATGAAATAAAATGAGATGATATGGAATGAAGTATAATCTCAGTAAAATGGTGATCATTTACTGGGATTTTTTCAGTAAACTTTTTGGAGGATCTCGAGAAGTTAGGTTCAGCGGCTTTGTTTCATTTTCCCACATTTGTGCACTTTCACAGATACTATACAGATAATAAATCACCGTTATTACACTTTTTAAACGTGAAGAAACACTAAATAGACAAAATAAAACAAATGACACGACTTCACTCCTCGTGTTCCCGCCAAAAACCCAAACCGTAGATTAGACACATTAAACTACATTGTTTCCTTTTTATCATTTCAGGGCGGTAAATGTACATACAAACTATGTAAAAAATGTTGTAAAAATAAGTGTTACGAAGAAGACTTGGATTGTAGAGGTCACAGGATACTTGTACATACTAGAAGAGAAATTGCCAAATTATTTGCAAATAAAAATACTGAGGAGACGTAGCTGTTAAGATATTTTTTTGAAATAAATTGACTACCTGATTATTGAAATTGATTGCTTATATTGTTTCTGAGAAACATATTATGTTACCACGTGATTCAATGTTATCAATAGCGCTTCCCACGCAAGCCATTGCAGGATCAAAATGTAACTTTATACAGGACCCCCTTCGTATAAGACTGCTAATTCGCATCATGCTATATCTAAACCGTGATAAACGAAACCTTGAAATAATATACGTAAAAGCAATGTGTACCATTTTATGTCGAAACCATGACTTAAGGTGTAAGTAATATTTTATGATAACATACAGTAGCTTTGTTTACTTTAATGATTTTGCATTCGATGTTGGCTTTTCTCCGCAATTTATACAATCTAAAATTCCAGTTTTTTCTTTCGACTGAAATAAATATTCGTTTAAATTTATATTTCTTGATCTTGTCAGACATTATCTAAATTCAATGTCCAAAATTAGAATTATTATAAACGTTACAACTTAATTTTTTACATACCACAAATTGAAATTACTATGCACTATAAACTTTTAAGAAATAGCCATGATTGACTTTTTTACTTTTCAGTTTCCCTACCAAAATGTTAAAAAAATAAACCAAGAAACAAGTTCTCAATATCATTTACAAAGAACAAAACCCACTTAACTTTCACTTCTCAAAATGAAATGAGAAATTTTTCAGTAGCAATAAAGTTGGTAAACTTTTCCATATTGAAAATCAAATTTTCAACGCATATTGGATTTTTTAAATCGTGACGTATTAAAATGGTGTTACAATTATTCTCAATTCTTGTAACGTGTAATATCGAAACTGTATAATCTTATTATTATATACATAATCTTATTCTTATATACACAGGTTTATACCGTGAGTATAGATATATACACGAATACCTGTTGTTGCGTTTAGATATTATTAATTAAAAAGTATTTAAATATCAATAGCCATATTGGCGATTGTGACGTCACTGGTCTATGAAGGCAAAAAATAATTAAATAATATATTATAAATAATTAAAATTCCAAGAAAACTTCCCTGCTTCCAAAATTATGTTTGTTTTATCCTTTCCGAAGCTTGATCTTCGTTTAGACGTGTTTACTTAAAATAGAATAAATTGATCGTCTTGTTGGTGTAACTGTTACTAATGCTCCACGGGTCCGCGCTCGGTTGGATATTGAATATATGCATATACATACGAAATCTATTTTGGCGAACTAACTAACCATTGAAATCCAGATCTGAAACATTACTTCCGTACTACGTCAGTTAATCAGCTTTTTGTCATAAATGAGTTAACAATCTCACGGCATGCTTGAAGTTGAGTAGTAAAAGAGTAGTTACTCCAATTCGTAGACACCACTATTCATACATAGTATATTCGTACTGTATCCAATACCGTATTTACCATAAGGGCACACGGGGCCCGTGCCCAGGGCCCCCATTCTCAGGGGCCCCCTAAGGACCGACAATTTCTCTCACACATTTATCCGGTTTCCATTATCGTAATAACCAAAATACCAGCCGCATTCTAATATCATTAATGACATATTATATCATACCGTATTTGATTACCTATAATAAAGGGTCATACTCAGTAAAAAAAGTTATTATAATTCGCTTTTTTTACTTTCCAAAAGGGCCTCAAATTCTTGTGTGCCCAGGGCCCCCCTAATTTAAGACGTCCCTGACTGTATCACAATACCTCCAAGCACCATTAATTATATGGAGCCATTTATTGTATGTACCGTGCGTACTTGGATATTCTTTTCTAACGTATGTTGAATTGAATATATCCGAGCACTGCTCTTGCTAGGGCTAGTATTAGCACATTCTCTCAGGTCGAGCTTCTTGAGTTCGTTATGTCACGGCGTAGCTCCTAGGATACCAGCGAATAGGTAGAAAAAAAAACTAATATCTTAGTATTCCCTCGTAATTATTAGTGGAGTGTCGTATGACGAGCTCTAACGGATATGTACCACCACTGTAACTATTAATCATTTAAAAAATTGCAACAATCATTATCACAATACAAAATTGAAACTTCATATTTCACGTTGCGTTGTGCCCCGACACCCAACAGCTTCGGTAAACACTTAAAACCGAGTTGGTCGTGAATAAATAAATTATTAAAAATAATTAATATTTAAACAATGAAGTTAAATATGCATGTACCGCTTCTGTTATGTATATAATTTCAGTTGCTATAGAAACTAAGTAGCTCTGTAGTGTACACAGCGAATAGGTAGGTACGCTAAAAAAGACAGTGTACCTACATGTGTTAATATACATGCTACTTTATTTACGGACTATGTACCTACATTGATAAACTTCGAGTGCCTTGCCTAGATAATCTCTACATTATTAATATTATTGAGATTTATAGATAATGAGTGACGCAGAAAAAACATGAATGTATTGTAACTTACCAAATCTATAATACTGAAACGTTTGCGCGCGCAAGTTCGTCGCATGTCTATGTAATCATCAATATGATTAGACGTTCTAAGACTACGTATCTGTGTGAAAGGAAGGTGTGTATTTGTGTTTAAAAACATTAATATTTATCGAAACATTAAGACATTTATTAAAAAAGCGAAACAATTTGTAAGTTAAATTAAAATGACTATGGAGCTAGCATGTGAACACTGCACACAATGGCCTTACAAACAAAATTAATAATAAGATTAAAATATAAATAAAGTGATTACTTGAAAGCAAATGGCCGAATGCTGCATTATAACAAACTCATCACCTCGACTACAAAGAAGATTAAATGGTTTTCAACTACCACTGAATTATCTGCAAGTTCTTGGGTGGATTGCTCTCATTGGAACTGCTCTAATAAATTTTATATTTTTGATACAAATACAGTTCAATGAATTAAGAATGATATCCCTGATTGTGTACACAGTGCTGTACGTGTCACATACTATCGCTCACGTTACTGCATCCATGCTAGATCCAAGTGAAACCGAATTGAGAAAGATGGAAATAAATATTATTCCGGAATTCGATCGAACTATTCACGCGCATGTCATTGAGAATGGAAGATGTCATTTATGCAACATACAAGCAACAAGTAGATATACTAAACACTGTAGTATTTGCAATAAATGTGTGGATCAATTTGATCATCACTGCAAGTGGTTGAACAACTGCATTGGAAACAGGAACTACTTACCGTTCATTGCATCTGTTATTACAGCTTTGATGATATCTGCGTTTACGGCTGCATTGTGTCTTACAGACATTGTTTTGTTTTTAACTAATCCGTATAAATTAAGTACTGGCCATTATAATTATATCAATTGTACTATAAGCAAAGAGTCGTACTCTGAATTTTGTAAAATATCTATGCCATTGTTAGCATTTTTAGTGTTATTCTTTATAATAGCTATTGGGATATCATGTGCCTTGTTACATTTATGCTGTTTTCACGTTTACATCTCATATTTGGGAGTTTCCACTTATGAATATGTTATGAAAAGTGGCACATCAGAAGCAATACGCTGTCAATGTTTCATTTGTAAGTGTCGCAGAATAAGTTTACCGAAAATGTATATTAAAGACAACACGAAACCCGATGATGAAGTTGTTGATAAACACGACAAACCAGAATTAATAGACGGATTATACGACAGCGAAACTCGAAATGGCAGTAATCTAATTGTTTTGGTAAATAACCAATTGGATAGAGCAAGAAATTGGTTTGTATTCGACAGGAATAAAGTACATCCGCACAATGTTGATAGTGACAGATAATGCTTCTATTTTTATACAAGCTTTATAAACAATAAAATAAGTATACACCATCGTAAGTTGATTTTATTACAAAAATTTCAATATGTCTAGAGATCGTTTTAAGAAATGGTGTCCCGTGTATTCTACGGTCAGTTTCATAAATCTTAAATTTTCTTTTTCTCACCATACGTGAATAACGCGATCGACTTCGATACACGAAAGCCTCAACTGTATTGTTTAATGGTTCAAAACGTTTTGCCCCACTAAAAGGCAGGACGGTGGTACCTATAGAAAATACTTAGGAAGTGAAGTGTAGGTACTTATCCGTTGATACTTCACTAGATACACCATATCATTAAAAGTAATTTTTTATAAGATTAAAAATCTAGTTGTCTTTTATAGCATCTGAGTTCAGAACTGAGTTCTCAACCAGTTGAAAGCCCTACATTTTTTTTAGATAAAATTATAGGTAGATGAGCTCTGCCACAAGAATCAAATTGCCGTTCCGAAAAGAATGGTGCCGTTGACAGAATTCGTAACTGTATTAATACGTGTGTCCGATTTATTTGTGTTGGTATTGGTAGATATACGAGGATATTAAAATCACTTTTAAAAAATTAATTATTTCAAAACTTTCATTATTAAAATGGGAAAAAACTTAACACAAAATTTGATTTTCCAGAAAGGTGCCACCTTCGGTGCTTCTGTCCAAGAGACAGATAAATAATCTAATTAAAATAAAACTGACCATTCGAAGGTACTGACGATGTTTGCTGTGCTCAGTGTTACCGAATCCTGGCAACCCCCGACCGAGAGCCAGCGCTAAAACTATAAAAACGATCCCTCGCTGCGCCTTTGCCTTTTTTTTGTGCGTGGCGTTCGTGTGTGCGGTTCTTGTTGAAACATGTTTGGGACTTTTGTAATTTTAACAGTTTTCGTTAATAGTAAATTGAAATCATTTTGCTAAAAGTATTGTTGTTAATTCAGTGAAATATAATTAGGCCAGTTCTGTGTTATTTATTTCTTTTTGTTAACTACCTCACTTCTGGTCGATAATAGTACTTTGATATACATTACATTAATATAAGAGTAACATATAGGACAGGCTTGCCACATTCTCTGGTTCGTGGTTTAAGGTTTTTTTGTTAACCTTGTGGCTTAACCAGGACGAATTTGAGGACTTAGCCAGGAAGTTTTGAGGCCTAACAGCAAAGTCAGCAACAGTCAGTGCATCTACCACCAGATCGGAATCGTGAGACTCGCTGAGAAGCTGTGAGCTGGCGCTATGGATTAAGTGTCACGTCGAACTCTGCGGAGAGTACTATAACCTATACTTTGGTTGCTGCTAGTAGAGTTCAACAGCAGCGAGACTGGTTCAAAACAATTAGTAAGGAGGAGTGTAGGGCATCGACAGTGACATCGACCCAGGTTATCGTGAGGCGCCGCTGACGCAAAATAGCGTCCCGACGATGTCTGTGTGCTTTGGAGTCGTTGATATACGATAGGTTGAGGTATGCCGTATTATAATGAAATATATTCGACCGTGATGCATTAATTGTTATCACATATCATTTGCCTCATCGAATAAACACAAAAATGGTGACGTTGTCAATCCTGTCTAAATTAACTATTTCTTATTGCATCCATATTAGAAAACAGATATTCTCAAAGAATTCATTCTGCAAAACAAAGTCAGAAATTGATTAAGGTACGATATATGAAATGTCGGTTTTTTGTTTGTTAAAAAAAAATCGATGCCGACTATTACGTTCGGTTAAAATAATGTAGGGTCATCATCATCAGCCTGCGGCAGTCCACTGCTGGACATAGGCCTCCCCCCAAAGCTCGCCACTGAACCCGATCTTCGGTTCTACGCATCCAGTTACTGCCAGCTGCCTTGCGCAGGTCGTCGCTCCGTCTAGCAGGAGGGCGTCCTACACTACGTTTGCCGGTTTGCGGTCTCCACTCCAGAACACGTCTACCCCAACGGTTATCGGTTCTGCGACATATGTGACCAGCCCACTGCCACTTCAGCTTACTAACTCTGCGAGCTATATCGATAACTTTGGTTTTTGCCCGAATGACCTCATTGCGTATTCGGTCTCGCAATGACAAACCAAGCATAGCTCGCTGAGTAACTGTTAGTTGGTGGACTAGTCGCACAGTCAGTGTCCACGTTTTGGCTCCGTAGGTAAGCACGGGTAGGACGCACTGTGTAGGGTGTGATCCTTTTATTATAAATTAGGTACCTACCTATGTGATTTGTTTGAAAACTGAAATGTCTGTAGAATTGATAGTTTTAAAAGCCGTATGAATCATTTAGAAATATTGAAATTAATATCAGACATGCATAGTTTGTATAATCTCTAATCAATGACTAATTAATTTTTTAATTTTAATTATCATACAAAGCTAAGAGTCGAGTCAACGGAATGGCAGCGTCGCGGCGAGCACTTTCTGTCTGAAATAATTTTAAATTTTATCTATTATATACTTAAAAGATTAGTATCGCTTGAAAAGTTCGCGATACAACCGCCGCCCGCCCGCCTGCGGTGAAGCGAACAGCCGCACGCCACGTGAGTCTTGTCGATGGTTCTGTCCGCGGCTGCCAGCGGCGACAAAAGCCCACCAAAGCGACACCGCGGTTATATGTAATAACCAATTCCATCCAAACACAAGAGTATCATTACCGAATGAAGAAACTAAATTAGTCAAGAGGAGAGTAGGCGCGTGCAGTCTGGAGGCCGCGCGAGGCCGCCGGCCACTGCCATTCTGGTGTGACTCGGTCCTAATCATAAACACTGTCAATAAATCATTTTTTATCTCTATTGAAATTAGAAGTTTTAAATACTTTATTTGATGCTCATTAAGAGTGCATTCAAAGTTAAAGTTGAGTGTCAATGTAATATCTGGGATAGAAATACTACAGATAGAATTGCGCGAAAGGAAGATAAAAATTATTCTTTAATATACATTTCATTAGTACACTGTGTACTGTACCACACCTGTATATTTTGTATTCAAAATGACTTGCGATTTCTGGTTCATTTCCATTTATCATAGCATAAATTATAATACATAAATAAAAGTACATTTTGGAACCAATAGATTACTTTACTAAATAGTTAAATGAAATTTACAATTTTTCTGCATTGCCTAAAATATTTCAATCAGAAAATAATAAAAAAACAAATATCTTCAAACATCCCTATCACCATACTGATGTGGGTAAATAATACCTTTTAAGTATATTTTTAGTCACGCTTGCGACGACGGTTTTGTTCCTCCTGAAAAAACAACAACGGTTAAATATAGACAATTTCATTTGGCTTTTTAATTTTACTACTAATATTGTAACAGAGAAAATATGTTTATTTGTAATTTTTTCATGTCGTATTGTTTTTTTAAAGTGACATTTTAAGGTCAGTAGAGCGCAAAAAGCATTGGTAAAGCATTAGCATGTGAAATATTAAGCACATAATTTCCTACCTTCTGTGTCAAAATAATAACCAGTCTTCTGAACATTCCAATAAAGTCAATGAATAATTCCAATGCATGTTGCACAAAGTCTTTGCTTCCCATTCTGCGTTTCTCAATGATCAGTTGTGTGTCGAACAGTACAAAACCGCACATGAGCATGAGGCCAAGATAAAGATGAGCCTGTTAAATTAGATAAATATTTAATGAGATATAATAGAATAATTAAAAATTAAATAATTTCCAAAAAAAAAATCCTATTCTAATGAGACCTAATACTCAAAAATATTATAATTATTAGCCAGGACCAAAATTTTACCATCTACATTCAATGAGTTGAGTAACTTTCTATGTGTAAAGGGAAAATTACAGGGTCTAATGCATCCTGATGTCATTGGCAATGAGACAAAAGTGATTTAAAACTCTCGACCAATCACTCAAAAGACATAGTGCATAACAGCACTGTATTAAAGTTTTTCATGGACACTTTTGTTAGAAGAAAGTTATTTGTGAATATTTTTTTCTGGCAAAAGGATGAGATGCCGTCCCACAACAACTTGTCATCACTCAGTAGAGTAAGAACTAGGCGTCTTGGTCATGAATTGGGAGGAAATAGATCACACTGCCCAAGACCAATGCAAATGGAAGAATTTGATTCATCCCTACACCCCAGCAGAGGGTAATAGGAAAGAAAGAAGAAGAACATTTTGTATTTTAAGACAAAAAAAACAGCTTTACATTTTATGGAATTGTTGAAATATGCTATGCTAGTCTATGTTGGTAAATGCAAAATACTATAATACATTCATATAATGACTTTCTAGAATATTTCCAGCCAAATAAACAAAGGTCACATATAGACTCATTAAACAGATTAGTCATTAACTTAACTCGTAGTCAATTCTTTAATGCAACACTACTTTGATATGTTATATTCTGAATGCTTGTTATATTTAACTGTCCTATTGATATTTACCAGTGAAAAATATTACTCACTTGGTACAAGAAATGTGACTGCATAAACAGATTAACCAAAGTCATTAGTGACATAGATGTGAACAGTGTCATCAATGTGCCACCGAGGAATAGCCAGCTGCCTCGTTCAGCAAGCATAGCAGCAGCAGAGAAGCATACAAATACCAGGGTAGTGCCGAGCAGAGCAGTTATTATGATAGATGGGTCAACTACACTGACATATTCAAGCAGGGGACCCATGCTCATGCCTGAAATATAAATAAAAATTTAAACTACAACTTATAAAAATGATTTAAGCATTTGTGGATACTGGATGTTGGTACACATTTAGTTTTCAATATGTGAACCTGAAATAACAGAACAATATTGTTGCACTAAGTTGTGTAATAATAAGGTTCTAATTTCTCTCTATCTTCTAATGTTTTGATAGTGACTAAAATATTATAGTATTTACAATATAACTCAATAATTTGTTCATTCATAATTTGATAATGTCATGATTTCATCATTAATTGATTTTCTAGTCATTATACCTGATGTTAATCCAAATCCAAGTAGATAGCCGAGTCGTAAGTTAGTGTTCTTTCCATTATCGGGTGTGGCAATCAACATGAGCATTAGACCAGCACCAACGATGGCCGATAAGAATCCAGCTTGGAATCTTGTAAACATATCAACATAAACCCCAGCAGATGCAGACACGCATGTCATCATTAATGTGGCGTAAACATTTTTAAGATGCTGACGAACTGGTGGTTCCCTAAAACATTGAATTCGATCATTTAAATCTGTGAATTAGCTTTACACACCATATAATCATATGTTTTAATGTTCATATCATTAACAAACAAGATACGCCAATCTCAGTTTTACAATATTTACTCAGATGGGCATTATCTATTAGCATTCATCGTATGAAGAAAATTCATAACATCAGTTTTAATGCAAAGTTCTAGAATGATCATTCAATGACCTTGTTTCGTATACAAATATTACGTATGTTATTAACTTATATTTTCATAACTTAATAATTAAAACCGATTTATTATACTCACAGTCGATTCTGAAAGCTGTTGACAAAGGTTTGAAAATTTATTGTATTCATGTTTTTTTTTACTTTCTGAAGGGTCTTTAAACAATGATTTCAATAATATGATCTATGTTATTCTATTTGAAGTCTAAAATATTTATAGCTTTCAATATGACGCAACAACAGTATTCAAGTTTCACAAGTCACAATAAAACAAACAAATAATTTTCGTTCTGCGCTGTAGAGAATATGGCAGTGAATAAAATTGGGTGGTGTGGAGTGATTTTATTGACCAATGAGAATTCAGAAGTCGAACTTTGAAACACACGTATCCCATACGTCATTACCGGTGTTGCTAGAGATTGAATTATATGCACTAGGTGTGTAGAGTGTGACAACTGCATTCTCACTCAAAAATAATTTAATATAAAAATTAAATGGAAAAAGTGTACCCTTTCCCCGCGGTTACAATAATACTAGCTACTAACTATACTAAATAATAACCGTAAATATTTTATATGCACGTATATGTATTTGTATATATATATATATATGTGTATTTACACTTGTATATAGTACGTATGTATTTTTGTGTATGTATATGACGAAGATAGCTGGTAATTTAATTTAATTTTAATTTCAATGCATCTATCAATTTACCCTGCATTACCTTTGGTTGACTGTTAGAAATGCCCCAGGCATTAAGTGTAATAAATAAATAAATAAAAACCTTAATCCTTAATTAATAAAGTTCTCCTATTTAAAACAATATTATTTTGAATTGTTGGTGTTGTTTGATAGTTTAAAGAACAGCATCATAGTTTAAATCTTTCCACATGTTACTATGGTGCCACCTTAATTAGCTCCTTTTCAGCTGACACTTTTTATTACACTGAGGTGGTTTTCCTTACCTCTAACCTCCCTAGTCTAGAAGACCAAACTTTAATCAGTTTTCTACGATATGATTATTAGAGCCTATACATATCGTAACGTTAATGATACTATCTACCTTGAGACGGAGTTGAATCCCTATTGTGACAACGGCTTATCCTACAAATTGAAAAGCAAAATAACTTTCCGGTAGGAAGGTGTTACCTGTATAACATGTATAGCAGTAATATTGGGAGTTCGACTCACAATACGGTCAAACAGTGGTCTCGAACCTACCGATTTTTCGGTATTTCTACCGATATGGGCTCTGTTCTACCGAAATACTGAAATATAGCGATTTTTCTACGATTTCAGAGTATACATTGAAATTCTCCCGATTTTTCTACCGATTTTACACTTTTAAGTTGGTAGGCTTTTTCATTTATATTTAATGTTACGGGGAAGCCCTCAATATTAAGTATGGATGAACCTAGTACAGAATGTTCCATATATTTTGGGGAATACCCCTGTGTCCTACAGCTCGATGTTATAAGGGGCTCGGGAATTTACCTGTCTAATCTATATATAAACAGGAATTCGGTTTAATTTTTTCATTAACTTTTCATAACTTTGAAGAGAAAGTAACTATCCTAAAGAGTGCCTACAAAATAAGATTAATAAGTTCAAATGTCATCTGATACAACAAGCACAAGTGCGAGTGTAAGAAGAGAAAATTATGTACAATATTATAGAAAAGAATGGGAAGAAGAATTTCCAGGCTAGCTACAAGATAGTCGGTTTTCTTTGTTGTCTAATTGCATCTTTAATATTTTATCACTTCCCCATTCATCCGCTAACGTTGAACGCATATTTTTACAAATTAATATTTTGAAAACAAAACAGTGAAATAGACTGTCTACTGAATCAATCACTACTTTATTACATGCAAAACGATTCTTTAATACAGCTAATTGTTATGATTTTGAAATTAATTCGAATATGACTGCCGCTATGGTTAAAGAATATTGGTATAAAAAATAATTATACTTAAGTATGATTGTTATAAATTAGTCTGTAATTTTTTTGTTAAATAAATAAACGAATTTGATTGAATATGGTACTTTTTTGTCAAATACCGATTTTGGATACAAATATACCGATTTTAGCTGGCAGCTCTACCGATTTAGCTCTATGTCGTTCGAGATCACTGCGGTCGACCATCTATAAATATTTTTTGGTATGCTCTCTACGCTACTTGCATTATTATAATTAGTTGAACAATCCATAAAATTTTCTTCAGGTACATCAAATGTAAAAAAAGCCGATTTTAGCATAATGACTTTAATGTTGTATGTTCGTTCAACACAATAATTGAAAAAAAAAAACTCTATGGTATAAAACACGAGAAAATAAACATAACCTCACTTGTACACACACTCGTAATGTGCGTATTGCATTCATTTTTGTCATGTAATTGATGATAATCAATTGTTTTTAGAAATAACCCCAGAAGTTATATACTTAAAAAAGTAATATACCACAATGGGAAAGAAAACAAAAGTAGGAAAACAACGGAAAGATAAATACTACCAACTAGCTAAAGAAACAGGTACATCTTTTTTAATTTGCATCATTTTATAACATCTAATTACTTTGATAATTCATCTGGTTAAACCGAAATACTTTTAATACATCTGCTGATTACTTCAGATATAGGGCGGCGATGTAGGTATATATATATTTATTAGAACATAAAATATATTTATATCGAAAAATTTATACTTCTTTCAGGATATAGATCAAGAGCTGCATTCAAATTAATACAATTGAACAGGAAATTTGGATTTTTGCAGAAATCACGAGTATGTATCGACTTATGTGCTGCACCTGGTGGGTGGATGCAGGTGGCCCACCAAAATATGCCAGTCTCTAGCATAGTAATCGGAGTCGATTTGTTTCCAATAAAACCAGTTCCAGGTTGTATAGGTCTGACTGAAGATATCACTACAGAAAAATGTAAGGCAGCAATCAAAAAAGAAATAAAAACATGGAAAGCTGATGTGGTACTTAATGACGGTGCACCNTTATGTGCTGCACCTGGTGGGTGGATGCAGGTGGCCCACCAAAATATGCCAGTCTCTAGCATAGTAATCGGAGTCGATTTGTTTCCAATAAAACCAGTTCCAGGTTGTATAGGTCTGACTGAAGATATCACTACAGAAAAATGTAAGGCAGCAATCAAAAAAGAAATAAAAACATGGAAAGCTGATGTGGTACTTAATGACGGTGCACCCAATGTCGGTCTTAATTGGATCCATGATGCCTATCAACAAGCTTGTCTAACATTGAGTGCTTTAAAACTTGCAACGAACTTCCTCAGAGAAGGTGGTTGGTTTGTGACTAAAGTATTCAGATCGAAAGACTATCATGCACTTTTATGGGTTCTGAAACAATTCTTCAAAAAAGTACATGCTACAAAGCCCCAAGCTTCTCGTAATGAGTCTTCTGAAATTTTCGTTGTATGTCAGGGCTATATTGCACCAGATACAATTGATCCTAAATTTCTCGACCCCAAACATGTCTTTGAAGATCTTGATATAGTTAAAAAACAGCATATAAATATATTACATCCTGAGAAACAAAAAAAAGCAAAAGCAGAAGGATATAAAGAAAATGATTATACCACACATCATAAAGTAAAACTGTCTGAATTTTTGGGAAAAGATGATCCAGTAGATCTACTACATGGTTGCTCTGAGGTAAAATGAAAATTTGATTATTGCCATTTCATTGTTTTAGTATGTTTTTTAAATAATTACATAACTACTTTCAATAATGTTACAGATTGTTTTCGATGATAAGGAAATAGAAACTCATCCAAAGACAACACCAGAAATAAAGGAATGTTGTAAGGATATTAAGGTGCTTGGACGAAAAGACTTAAAATCACTGCTGTCATGGTTCAAGCAAATGAAAGAATATAAATCGTCTAAGGTTAGAATTTTATAGGATATAATCACAAACTAAATTTTTGTTTACAGAGGCTTATTATACTTATTACATGGGGATACCTCTCAGACATTTGTATTTTGGTGGGTAAAAAACTCTGTCACGAGGATTTGATTATGAATAAGAAACTGTTTTTCATTTGCATCTTAAATTAGTATATCATTGAATGTACACTCAAATCAAGTAATATGTCTATGGTGTACAGTAAAGGAGCAGCTCTTTGCAAATCAATGTCCTCAAGTCAGGGTGTAGTTTTATTTTGTCTGTAGGTGGAGAGATTTTATTAACACTATCCCTGCTCATCTAGGAAGTTAGCTTTGGGAGTGAACTCAAAGAGGGATGCTTGTTATTGGGAATATTTGTAGGCTCTAATTATGTTTGTAGTTTGTAGTATTTTATCAAGTATATACATACAAATGTAGTTAAGGTGTACCTTCTAAATGAATACAGTAAGAAGCAACTTGCCTGTTCCCAAGGTATGGTTATATGCTTATGGTATTCTGTCTACAAAAGCAGTTAACATCTACGAACAACTTCCAAAGTATAGAGTAATACAAATGTAGCTTGTTGAATATATACTATGACAATAAACAAATGTCCCAAAGTGGATGTGGCTGTATACATTGTGGTGTTTGATAAACTACTTTAACCACTTAACACTAGGTAATTTAAGAGCTAGCAACTAGAGTATTGAAAGCACTAAAGATTAAAAACTAAAACTTATTTTAGGAGAAAAAAGATGATGAGCCCCAAACCAATGATGAAAACGAAGAACATGAAACAAATGAGGATGCTGATACTGAAGAAGGTGATGTAGACACACAAATTGCAGAACTGCAGGTACTAGATTGGGAATGTTTATACTATACTATGTATGATCTGTGACTTTTGCTAAGTAATCTTTTGTTGATTTAAAAAGTAAATTAATACCACATTAAAATAAAATTCCATTGTCACTTATTATTTTGAACAGGGGTAAAATAATAGTCCAAATTTAATAAAATATTCCAGGATGAAGAGAAGCGACAATTGAAACGTAAAAGGAAGCAGTTGAATAAACAGAGACAAAAACTAGCTGAAAAAATGAATCTTAAGATGGTATTGAAAGGAGATGATGGTCCTATTTTGGAAAGTAATGATATGTTTCAACTCTCTGATATCAAGAATGCAGAGGTATGTTTTTTTAACTACTTATTATAACTACATTTTAAATTCAGAACCAATTTTGTGCGTCTCATCAAGTGTATAGTTATTAAGTGGGAATATTTAAAAAAAAAAATTGTGGTAATGTAAATCAAGTGTATCACTAACAAACAAGTATCTATAGTAAGACCCTGATTAATGCAGGCTGTATGTTCCATCAAAGTTTAGCGTAATATGAAACTGTTAAACAAGACTGTCTCATCATGTAAATAATGGGGGGGGGGAAAATGGTAGAAAATTGGTCAAGTATTTTACCATTAAAATTATTAATTATTTTATTATATAATATTATATTATTCATTACATAATATTTGTATAACAGTAAAACAAACATTAATTTCTTACAATAATAAAAACATAATAAATGAGTATAATGTACATCTACTGGTGATGGGATCTCTTGTGAGTCCGCATGGGTAGGTATCACGACCCTGCCTATTACTGCCGTAAAGCAGTAATTCGTTTCGGTTTCAAGGGCGGGGCAGCCGTTGTACTGTTAAAAGTGAGACGTTAGACCAGTGATTCTCAACCACTGTTCCGCGACACTTTTGTGTGCCGCCAAATTTTGCGAATATATAATAATGTTAATATTATTAAGTTATATCATTTTGAAAGAAAAATATTTTAAACATGAAAATATATTTAAATCCACAAAAAAAAAAAAAGTATATTTTAGTTTATTTCGTATATTAACATTTTTTGATAAACTATTTATGCAGTGTGTTGTAGTAAGTAAATAATTTTTATCTTTTTTTTTGTGTGCCGCCAAATTTTGAAATCGTTAAATATGTGCCGCAACAAAAAAAAAAGGTTGAGAATTTCTGCGTTAGACTGTTAAAAGTGGGTGGCGCTATTTAGTTGTAGATGTTTGTGGTCTCCGGTAAACACTTAACACCAGGTGGGCTCGTCCACCCATCAAAAGCAATAAAAAATAGCATAAAATTAATGAAATTCAAACTCAATATGTTTAAATTTCAGATCATTCAGTCTGTTCTGTATTTTTAATTTTCAGTCTTAAGAAAAATTCCAAATTTAATGCAGCACCAATTTGAGATTCACGTTCACCCTCTATCTAATCATTTGCATTTTCGTTTCTTGTTAAATGCTTTTTCTTGTTGCTTCATTTTCATATTTTTTATCACTCATGATAAAAAATTAAAATAGTATAAAATAAAATAATAATATTTTTCACTAAATAAATCATATTATATAAATTTATACTTAGATTAGCAATAATTAGCATCAACAAATGTATGAAAAACGTTCGTATAACAACGTAGGAAAGAAGAAACACAGATAAACTGCTTCAGTTGTCGGGAAGCGTAATGCTGCGTGCAATTTCGAGGAATTCCACGATTCATATAAAAGAGCGTTAAACTGCAACATGCCTTCTGTACTTATGAAAATGATGTAGTTAACAATTCACAACCTATTAAAAATAAATTATATTAATTTTTTTATTGTCTAGGAACTGAACACGCTTATAGATCAGCAGCCTGACACAGTGGTTGATGGAGATGATGCTTTTGATGATGAGATTAAACTTAAGCCAAAGTACTTGAAATACGATGTTGAGGGATCCAAGCTCGATTCATCAGGACTTTATTACAAAGATTCAGACAGTGAAATTGAAATGGAATCTGATTCAGAATCTGAACAGGAAAAAGAGTCATTAGGTAAATTATTTTTAACACTGTGCCATAATTTTATTACAGATATCTTTGTTTATTTATTTAGACTTTTATTTTTACGGTCAGCGTGGTATGGACATGTGGTGCGTACAGAGGAGATGTATGTTACTAGGAGATGTTTGGTAGTGCAGGGTAGAGGGGGAAGAGGCCGACCGAAGAAGACATGGATGGAGTGTGAATGACGATATGGGAGAGAGAGAGAGAGAGAGAGAGAGAGAGAGAGAAGTGAGTGTTGAGATGAGGCTGATACAAGAAAATGGAATAAAAAAATTCTTTGTGCCGACCCCAGCTAGTGAGATAAGGTGGAGACAAAGCAGAAGAAACTTTTATTTTTACTTTAGAATTTTATTTGGTGCTGATTTGGAATCAATGCCTAAATAGTATTCTTATTCGGTGTAGTATTACTGTTATTATCGGTAGTATTCTAAAAAATGCATTATGAAATCTATTAAAGATGTGTAAAAGGTAAATTAATAAAAAAAGTTAGAGGTTTAGTCGTCGTGGCCTAACGGATAAGACGTCCGATGTATTCATGTTGAGCGATGCACCGGTGTTCGAATCTCAGGCGGGTACCAATTTTTCTAATGAAATATGTACTAAACAAATGTTCATGATTGACTTCCACGGTGAAGGAATAACATCGTGTAATCAAAATGAAACCCGCAAAATTATAATTTGCGTAATTACTGGTGGTAGGACCTCTTGTGAGTCCGCGCGGGTGGGTACCACCGCCCTGCCTATTTCTGCCGTGAAGCAGTAATGCGTTTCGGTTAGAAGGGTGGGGCAGCCGTTGTAACTATACTTGAGACCTTAGAACTTATATCTCAAGGTGGGTGGCGCATTTACGTTGTGGATGTCTATGGGCTCCAGTAACCACTTAACACCAGGTGGGCTGTGAGCTCGTCCACCAATCTAAGCAATAAAAAAAAAAATAATGGGGATATGCCCATACCTCTATCCTCCACAGAAAAGCCAGACAAACTATTATCATTGTAACATTCTTTGACCCCAGTTTCATATATAAGAACTATTAATTTACTTATTTAATTTTTACAGCCTTCTCAGACTCAGACAATGAATCGAAAAAAATCAAAAAATTAACTAAATTAAATACTCTAAAAAACAGTCAAGTGAGTCCAGCAAACAAATTGAATAGATTACAGTCTATTCCAAAGAATAACCCGTTGCTCACTGATTTGGACAACACTGACCCAGTTTCGAAGAGGACTATGAAAGCTCAGCTATGGTTCGAGAAAGATTCTTTTAAAAATATTGATGAAGAAGCTGATGAAGGTATAGATTTGGACAAGTTAACAGAAACATTCAAGGAAAAAGGTCAGTGTAAAAGCTATTTACAGATAGACTATTTATGACATAACTGCTGTGACTTGATGATATTTTGCAACTTTATAGGAGAGCCATTTAAAGTTTAAAATTTAGGAAAAATATAATAAAATAAAACAACTTCTTTAGCTATTTGAGTGAAGTAAACTGAATTCAAGTTCAATTAAAAACATCGTATTGTTGATGCTAATATCAAATAAAACCCACCTTTATTTACAAAATAAATATAGCGTATTAAGCGAAATGTCGCTTAAATCAAATGGCCTTTCACCATTTTTTTGTTGCATATATGAGTAGCCGAGCTCATAGCCCGCCTTGTGTTAAGTGGTTAACGGAATCCATAGACATCTACAAAGTAAATGCTGCCACCCACTTTGAGATATGAGTTCTAAGGTCTCAATATAGTTACAACGGCTGCCCCACCCTTCAAACCGAAACACATTACTGCTTCACGACCGAAATAAGCGGGGTGGTGGTACCTACCCTCACACACACACAGGACTCACAAGAGGTCCTACCACCAGTAATCTCTCAATGTCGTGTTCTAAATACAAACAATTTTTAAGTGATTGAATAGCGTCTTTTCTTTTCCGAAAGCCCTTTGTAGACAAGAAAAATATGTTTTGAGAGTTAATCTGAGTCAAGTGTGTGATTTTACATAGGGAAGAAAGTCATTGAAGATGTGGAGTCAAGTAAACAAACCAGTGCACTAAAAAGAAAATTGTCAGACAACGAGAGTTCAGATGATGATTCCTCTGACAGTGATTATGATGTTGAAGAAAACGTTACTCCCAGTGCTTCTAGCGCTGGGCCAAAAGCCGGCAAAGAAGGTTTTGAAGTTGTCTCCCAAGATCCAGGTAAGCTAAGCAAGATTTTTTAAATTGCATAAAGAAATTTCTCATCAAATAAACGAGGATACTGAATTGTCTTTTAAAATTGTGTTCAATCAGCTTCAAATTTATTTACAGAACTGAAAAAACTAAAGAAAACTTTGAAAATGGACGCAGAGACACTTGCTTTAGGAACCATGATAGCTACATCAAAAAAATTCAAGAGGGATTTAATTGATGACGCGTGGAATAGATACGCGTTTAACGATAAAAACTTACCAGATTGGTTTATGGAAGATGAAAAGAAACATATGAAGAAAGACATTGTGATACCGGAGGTGAGCAATAATGGATATACTTAAATAATTTGTGCAAGTAAATATGTATATCAAAACATGATGACAAACATGTACATTAAAATTCATCATTTTATTTTATTACAGAAGTATACTGATGAATACAAGAATAGATTACAAGACATCAATGTGAGGCCTATCAAGAAGGTGATTGAAGCCAAAGCGCGGAAGAAGAAGCGCTTGATCAAAAAGATGGAACGTGCAAAGAAAAAAGTCGAGGCGGTAATGGAGAACGCTGATATGTCCGAGCGAGAGAAAGCACAACAAGTGAGACAACTTTACAAGAAGGCACAATCTGATGGTAAAAAGAAAATCACTTATGTGGTGGCCAAGAAACATACAACTGCTAAGCGTATGAAGAGACCACAGGGCGTTAAGGGTCAGTACAAAGTGGTAGATCCGCGCATGAAAAAGGACTTACGTGCCCAAAAGGCAAAGGAGAAAACAAAAGGTCGAGGTAAAAAACAACCCAAGAAACAAAACAAGCCTAAAAAAGTCCCCAAAAAGAAAGGAAAAGCAAAGTGATCACTTGTGTTGTTAAAACAGAAATAAAAGTTTCTTTTATAAATTTATTATTATTTAATTGATTTTTTATTCTGAACCTCGAAACTAATCTCGAAGGCCGAAACGGTAGCAGTAACACACACCTTAACGTAAATAGAATGATCATTTACGTGCCCAATCTAATTTCTGGACCCAATGTAAAGGACGTAACGCTCATTATGTATTGCATAAAATTTTAAACTATTTAACAATTATTTTTAGTTATCGATTTTCATTCACCAACACTGTTACCTATCGTTTTTGGGAACATTTCTCTACACCCTCTTTAATACATATAGGGTGTTATCAATTTACTTTAGTGCTGGATGAATTATGTCAATTTAATGTAGATTGATTTATGTTGACCCTTGGTAATTGTATCAGGGTGGCTAGACCCATTAGCTGGCATTACAGAGATTATTTTTACTACTAAGGTCAGGGTTGATATTCGAATCCACGTGCGTCATTCGGCGGCGAGTTCAGGGACAGACATGCTATATAAATGATATCATTTCGTTTTGTGGCCTTGGTGTCTAATTCTGATTCGTTCCAACTACGCCGTCTGCCTACTAATGTTCTTTAGTGATTTTGCGAAGGATTGATTCGTATCAACAAATATAATTTTATACCCATTGTTTTAGTGTGCACAATAAAACAAAATAACCTTCCCGCCAGCAGACGGTCAAATAATTTCTCGTTACTTCCCAGTCATGACCTTTACCGATATTCTGTGGAAAATTATTAATAAATATATTGAAATTATTTGCTGACATGTTTAGTTCTGGTTTTAAACTACAACATTGAATAGTTATTCACCGGTAAATAGGCTCTGTTCTGTTTTACTTTGGAAATTAATTTTCACGGTCTTTATNACCTTCCCGCCAGCAGACGGTCAAATAATTTCTCGTTACTTCCCAGTCATGACCTTTACCGATATTCTGTGGAAAATTATTAATAAATATATTGAAATTATTTGCTGACATGTTTAGTTCTGGTTTTAAACTACAACATTGAATAGTTATTCACCGGTAAATAGGCTCTGTTCTGTTTTACTTTGGAAATTAATTTTCACGGTCTTTATTAAAAGTTTTTCTTAAAAATGGAAGAGAGCGAAGAAGAACAGAAATTGTAACATGGGATGAGTTTGGAGGCCTTGAGGGGGTGTTATATGGAGGCAAACGGAGGGTCGGCAGCGCTATATCGAGCGCACGATCACGGCCAAGGCCGCTCGCCGCCGACGCGCTACCGACCGTTCCGTGCCCTCTGCCGCCCAATCCCGACCACTTTACTACATATCAACAAAATATCTCAATAATATTAGCATATCTATACTAACTAGCGGTGCCCCGGTAGTCGAATTTCGACTATAATTAATTGAAATTATAAGTTATAAAGACTATTATTTTACTTCCTATAATCACAGGTTTCGCGAAGGCTACATAATAGACAAAAAATATTAATCTATTCTCAATTTGACCACAGACTTGGAACAATAACTAAAGTTTGACAATGAACGAAGAGTACATGGTACGTGGTAGTATGTGTCATGTTTCTTTTATTGATTTAATGTATTATTTAGGCATAATTTAAAAAAATATTAACATTCTGCACTCCTTCTCTATAGCTCTCTAAGTGTGAGAAATTTCATGCTCCTCCGTCCACGCTATTTTCGTAAAAAGGATACAAAGTTTATCCTTCACGTATTAATATATGGATATATAAATCTACAGTGGTTTTTACGGATGTTCCGTTATAACTACTGAACCATGCATCCGATTGACTTAAAACTTGGTATCCATGTAGAAAATACATGTACTTAATGGATAGGCTAATATTTATATGAGTGTTGGACTCCCTAATAATAATGACAATAAATAATAATGGTAATTTTAAATGCCCAGCGAAGCGGACGAGTACGGCTAGTTCGCATTTATATGCCTAATTATATTTCAATATATTTCGAATATACTAATATTATTATTAGTATATTCGAAAGTAGTTGTGGCTTAAAGGATAAGACGTCCGGTGCATTCGTGTTGAGCGATGCACCGGTGTTCGAATCTCAAACGGGTAACAATTTTTCTAAGAAATATGTACTTAACAAATGTTCACGATTGACTTCCACGGTAAAGGAATAGCATTGCGTAATAAAAATCAAACCCGCAAAATTATAATTTGTGTAATTACTGGTGGTAGGTCCTCTTGTGAGTCCGCACGGGTAGGTACCACCACCCCGCCTGTTTCTGCCGTCAAGCAGTAATGCGTTTCGGTTTGAAGGGTAGGGCAGCCGTTGTAACTATACTGAGACCTTAGAACTCATCTCAAGGTAGATGGCGGCATTTATCTTGTAGATATCTATGGGCTCCGGTAACCACTTAACACCAGGTGGGCTGTGAGCTCGTCCACCCATCTAAGCAATAAAAAGAAAATCTCTATTATGAAAACTTACCGTATTATGTATTATACATTCTTAAAGAATACAGTTCGCTAATATGTTCAAAGATTTATCTAAGCTCTAAGAGCTTGTTTTCATTATTACAATAACCCTTAGTACTTGTTTAAATTTCGCGATTTCTGGAATCAAGACTTCGATCACGTGTCGCAACAGAGGTTGTGATTGGCTTCGGTAGACACTTGTGCCGTGCCATCAGTAAAACCAATTCTAAGGGTGCGAAAAATTGGTACTTAATTAATAGGTGATTTTAATAGTATCCGGTTGAGGGTTTAAAACGACATGCACAGGTTCAGGTAAGTAATATAGGTGTAGGGTGCGGAGGCGTGTGGGGAATGGGCGGTTGCTTTGACCTCGCTCTTACAAGGTCATTGGTTCCATTCCACTCTGGCACGCCATACAACCCTCCCTGTTCAGTAATCTTCCATAATGGATTTTCGTTTCCAATCTATTGTTACGTTTATAGTCAACTTTGCGTCAAGATGTTGAACTGAATAGTATATCTTGACAGAAAAAATTCGATCAGGTATATACTTACTTTTCTTTGCAAAGTAACCTACAAGATCAGACGTTCTTGTGTGGTTTTAGTACTTGCACGATTTCCTCATGTTCAGAGTCTACAGTCGTAGGATTATCACTTTAATTTCAATTTTATTCGTTTAATTTTAGCGTCGATCCTCAATCCAATACTTAGTATTATCAAGGAGGTTTAGTAGTAAACCTTGGTATTGATGCAAAGGCCGCCGACCGTAAAATTGTAAGCAAAATTAAATTGGACTGGAGACATGCGCTGTCTTCACCTAATGCGATCAACGGCGAGAAGAAAGAAATAGTATTGCGGAGGACCTAAAGTGATGTTGCAAGTTGACTAAATTTAAATACCTTAAATTAATTGATACACCTGGCACGAAGTCAGGATAATGTTATTATTTGGTTATTTTATGCCGTCATTTCGCTTGGCGTTTGGACAAATATTTGTTTTAAATAAAATCAATTAAGCTTATTATCATTGGGTTGATTTTGTTGCGAAGAAAGATAACAGATGTTTGTAAAATTACACCAAAGGAACGAAGATGAGCTTACTATAATAGCCAGAATAGGCGATGTTCTGGTTAACAATCCGAAGCGCTATTATCATAATAAGAATTCTCGAATGTTATTCCATCCTATGCTCTTTGTGGATGCTACTTTGATTCTTTAGACACGAGATCTAGCGGCAACGAGACTCCTGAACGCCTGTGAGAGTGATATACATAGGTGCTAATGTTCTGTGTATCTTGTACGAAATGCAGGATAATCTATAATACATCATAACAATATTCATTTGATTTATATATTGATTTTTGTATAGCAAATTCTTTTCAGTTTGTTCGTATTTCATGAATCAGTAATCTAAAGCTATAGAGATATAGGGCTATAGAGAGAGAGCGGACATCACAGAAATCTTGTGTAAGTGACAGTTATTCGCCCCCGCACTATAAAATTGTATAGATTAATGTGAGCCGTACGGGTGAGCGACCACGTTCATGGCCAACGTCTTTGAAACAGCCAGCAAACGGAGACAAACAAAGCGAACGCTGACAGTTACTGTTAGCTGCAGGTGAACCGCGATTAACCTCTCGATGAGTGGTCGTTAGCCGAAATGGACTCATAATAGGCCCGTCGAAGGTGAACACTTTTCAGTTGCGAACATTATTCAGACGTTTTACGTTCTCGATACGACAATAAAAGCCGTGATGAAGTGCAAACGAGGACCTATACCTTTATCTTAATATATATAAATTACGTGTCACGTTGTTTGTCCGCGATGGACACCTAAACTATTGAACCGATTTTAACCTTTTTTTTTAAATATGTGTTTTGTTCCAACTTGGGCCATAGGATGGTTTTTATTTCGATAACGGTCGCAATATTTATTAATCTATACTATGAATATTATAAAGCTGCAGAGTTTGTTTGAATGCGCTAATCTCAGGAACTACTGATCCGATTTGAAAAATTCTTTCAGTGTTAGATAGTTCAGTTATCGAGGAGGCTATATAACATCACGCTAAGACCAATTCAAGCGAGGCACCAATAAAGAATGTATCAAAATCGGGGTTTTTTCCCTTTTGAGAGCTTCCGCTGCGTGCGCTGCAGAAACGATTACAGTTTCGCTAAAATAATGTTTGACGGAATTGTTCCCCTTTAAAAGATCTTGAAAAAAGTCCGCAACAGCATATTATTATGTCTATATGTTAAGGTTGGCTCACTATAATGTTTTTTAAGCTAACCAAATTTGTTCTAAAATAAAGCATTATTTGTGAACTATTCCACGCCGACGAATTCGCGGGCAAAAGCTAGTTAACAATAAAATGATTTCTTAAGTTGATTATTGTTATTCATTCTAAGTTTCATAAGTCTAAAACAGATGGCGCCTTAAACTAGTTTTTACAAATAATTGTAATACTGTCTGACATTAATGTCTCATAGATGGCGCTGTATTAAAAATACCAAAGTGACATAAACACCACGTGTTGCTGAGGCTAAA